TTCGCTATTTTCATAAGTTTAGTTAAGAATGTTGATATATTGGGATATATTGGGACATTAACACACAGCACCATCGAGGTCCATGGTAAGCTACGAGGCTTGTGTTATGGATACCAGATAGTTATACACTACACATATATAACTTTAAATACATACATATTAAAAATATAAACACCCATGACTAGGTACACACATTCGTGCTCATCACACAAATGACCTCCACCCTAGCTTGACTCGAACCTGCGACCGCTAGCACAGCGGCAAATACGGCGTATATTATTTTTTAATGAATATTTATAAAATGAACAGGTATTAGATTGTAGAGAACTAAGTGTATACATAATTATCTCTTGCTCAAACATATATCCATATTAATCCAAGTTGCTAACATTAATACTTGTGCGAAATGTTATAAAATATTTGAATACTGACATCAAAGTGCACTCCACTAAAAGCATCGCTTACATCGTGTTTTTATCGATAGCACTCACGTAATAAAACTTCTGAAACGCTCAAAATAACTTTGCTAGTACTAGTCTTAATGTGATATATTTTATTACAAGTATAGTATAAAATGGTTAAAAGTTTTATTTATATTGAGTTTAAAAGTGTTTTAACTCATAATAAAATATAAAATAGACTTTACTCATATATGCTATCTCATATTATAATGTATATATATAAATATATACTGGGCATGGTAACTTGTACATAACTAGGGATCGCTTGTTTCTGTTAAAACAAAATCGATTGCCACTCCTCACGGGATTTCCATGAAAAAAATTCTCACAATATCGAAGATCCCGGAAATTGACTCAATGAAGGCCCGGCTCGTGTTTAATGGTCCCCGAGGAGGTTCTATTAGTTTCATACGATGTTTCTGATTTATGCGCCGTTTTCTTGTATGTATGGAAATTCTTACGCTCGGTCGGATGGTGTTTGCTTGGAATTTGTATCGTATTTTTTTCCTTATTCTACAATATATCAAAAGGCAATTTTTGAATATTTTTGAAATGTACTCTATATTTTTATATTTAATATTGTATCTACTATTACATAGGTATATAAGAGTTGAATATTATAATGTAACTTCTACGAGTACTTAGCGCTGAGGCATTTTCTTTCCTAACTTTCACTTAGCAAGTGTCATAAATACATCCACGTTCACTTCAATTATAATTAAACTTAACCTTTGAGAAAACTTAGACTTGGTTGATTTAATAATCAACAAGAGTAATGGTTAGTTTAGTTCAATAAATTATTAGATATACTAGCATTGCCCGCGGCTCCGTCCGCGTTCAGATGACCAAAACTACCCTTACATTCAGTTTTTGTATTTTTTCTCAGAAATGAGACATTTTCCCGCGGTAAAACGTATCCTATATGTTGACCCGAATAACCAGCTATCACCAAAAAAAAAAAAAATTTCATCAAAACCCCTCCAGTGGTTTTTCTAACAACAGAGTTGGTAATAAACAGACAGACAAAAATTCTAAAAACTATAGATTCGGCCTCTGTATCGATAATAATGTTTGTTTCAATAAATTTTTCCAAAAAATATTTAATTTACAGATTCGGCTTAGTTACAATTTTATTATATGTATAGATAATAAATTGTTTAAACTATAAACTAACGCCTGTCACTTTATGAAGTAAAGAATAAACAATTTTAACAAACGCAACTATTGTTACTCTTCATTCTGTACGCGGTAACAATTTTTCGCTTTCCCCGACGTTTTTCACCGGCTCCCAGATGTTCTTTGAGGCGTCCGTATTGTTTGCTGCCTTTTGTTCGTCCTTTTTTTGTTTTCCTGGACGTACTACACTCTGGCAAAGCGCCGACACCTTTGCGAATAAATTACTGCGTTAGACCACCAAGATTTTTTTATGTAATTTATACTTTTACTTTTGATCCCCCGCTAGTATGTATGTATGTATGTCTGTGCTATAACATTTTCGTTACAACAGTTCATTACTGCAACATACAATGAAAAGACGTTTGCTGGGCAGAAAAAGATGAATGTTATTCGTGAAAGAACAACATCATAATTCAATATTAAGATAATTGAAATAATTTTCTTATTTAATGTTTAAGTTGAGCGAAATAATGTTTTAGCTAAGCAACTTTTTAAAGTGACGATATACGAGTATTAAAATATATTAAATATTTAGACGGATAAGTAGGAGCGATAGCAGTCTGCGCTCTGTTGTGCGACGAGAGTGTATACTATGAGACCTTTTTTCCGCTATTCATTAGTGGCTTTCGTGAAAATGTTTAGAACGTAAAATATAACCTTTGCTGACTTATGATTATGACCTCCAACTTATCTTGGCTTTTTTATTTTCTAAGGAAAAATAAATGACTCACCTCAGTATAGCTTAATGTCTAATTATTTTATATTTTGGTTTGTATATTCATAATATTTGCCCAAGAAAGAACTGGAATGGGCTTAGGAAATATTTAATTGGATATTGCAATTATTTTAAAGCTTGGAATCACTGTTCATACAGTGTGTTAGATGTAACAACATCACTTTACAATTTATATTACAAGTTCTTCCGAAAATGCATTGTTAATATCTATACTAATGTATACTAATATTATAAAGAGGCAGAGTTTGTTTGTTTGAACGCGTTAATCTCAGGAACTACTAATCCGATTTGAAAAATTCTTTTTGCAATAGATAGTTCGTTTATTTCGGAAGGCTATGAGGTTATATATCCATTGGGTCTATTTATTCCATACTAACCGTTAAAATTTACTAGGGACGAACCCAAACGAAGCAAGGGTGAGTCGTTTGTAACTTATATTTATGGATAGTTTCATATCTTATTATTATAAATAAAATAAATAAAATAAAATCTTGCAAATGATAGTTGCCATGAAAAAAACATAGGTGCGGTTAATGCATAGGTACAATATGTATGTAAATGTTAAATATAAAAGTTTAAAACGATTGTTTGTTATTCAAATGAAAACTATTTCATTTACAAAATCCTTTACGAAAATGGAAGCGCATTTCTGTTCATAGTAAAATATTCTATTAACATACACGCAAATATTTTGTGGCAACATTTCATTATTTCGTTTTCGTTTCATTACTTGTAACTTAACATGAGCATCGGATGCCAACATTTGAATGCAAATGTATAGAATTTACCATAGAACGGCATTATGTAAATATATATATTATAATAGAATTTTATTCGAGATATAGATGTCCTTTTTATAATGAAACCGCTAGTAACCTTAGCCTATCCATCAAGATAAATTAGTATTAAGCTAGTGCCTATGCCACACCTACGCTTAATAAACTATCTCGATGATTTATTTTGTTAATCAATCCATACTAATATTATACTTGTTAATGTGAAAGTTTGTGAGTATGTATGGATGTTTGTTACTCTTTCACGCCAGAACGGCTGAACGGATCTGGATGAAATTTGGCACTGACATAGGTTATAGTCGGGAATAGAACATGGGTACTTTTTATCTCGGAAAAATGTACGGTTGTTCCCGAGGGGTAAATTTATTTTTGTCTAGGGACGAAGCCGGAGTGAAACGACGGTGAGTCGCTACTAGCTTATGAAGGACAAAGTAACAAGCATACTTCACATACAATGCTATTGTATTCATACATATACATTAAATAATTATGAAGTTTTAAATTAAACTATCTTATCCGATTTTTTATACTTGAGTCTCTCGCGTAAATCTAAGGACGTATTAATAACTAGCATTGCCCGCGGCTCCGCCCGCGTTCGAATGACCAAAAACCAAATTTTTAGGTTTTACATATTAGTATACTCTTACAATGCAGTTTTTGTATTTTTTCTCAGAAATGACAATTTTCCCGTGATAAAAAGTATCCTATATGTTGACCCGGATAACCAGCTACCATCGAACCAAATTTCATCAAAATCCATTCAGTGGTTTTCCGTGATGCGGTAACAGACACACAGACAGACAGACAAAAATTCTAAAAACTATAGATTCGGCCTCTGTATCGATAATAATGTCTATTTCAATAAGATTTTCCAAAAAGTATTTAATGTACAGATTCGACTTAGTTAGAATTTTATTATATGAATAGATTATAAAGTATTGTATTTTCATGGAGAAAAGATACCACTAAAAATAATAATAACTTTTATGTGAAACAAACGGTTTCTTATAATTTTTCTTATAGTCCGCACATAATAAAAGCAAATAGCAAAGGATTAACACTTATGCCGTTTTAACATTTTTCTACGCCCTCAATAACCTCAGGCAAGCATTCTTATATACAATCGACGTATGAATAATGATCAAGCTCTTCACACTGAGATATAAATCTCTCAATAATCGATGTTCCGATGTTTATTTATTGCACGATACCGTATCGAGAACTCAGTTTTTCTCGGCCTTAACAATGGGCTGATTTATGATTTCTTATTCATGTGTTTTGTATGCGGGGAAATGAATATAGAGTTGGAAATGTTAGGTCCTACATTTCAAATATATTGCAATGATAACTAAACAATAGATTAAAATAAATAGTAAGGAATACGATAAATTGTGATGTAGACGCTACATATATGAATATATTGTACTTAATTGTTTGCTGCAGCTTACTTAATTACGAAGTCCCCTACAAGTGTACATACATACATACATAAGTACATACATACATATTAGTGGCGAAAGGTGAAATTTTAGCAGAGTTAAGCCGCTCCAAAAATTACAATTTTTATATACGTATTATTGCAGAAAGAAATAAAGCTATTATTATACATAATATTTCCAAAAGAACATTTATATATTTAAAAATTTAATGTATGTAAAATTGTAGCAAAATAATTATAATGAGACATCTAGTATTGACCCTTCGCCACTGATACATACATATATACATACATATATATTTATATACTTAGAAGTGGTTACTATAAAATAGTTTTAGTTGTTATGTATTTAATATAATAGTAATATTTCCTTATATTGTATAAATTAGTAAGTAATGTGTAAGTTTAATACCTATTTGTTTTACATAATATAGACTGAACTATATCTACATAGATACGTATCAGATACTTTAAATAATAAGATTTGTATACAATTATCACAACGACTAGGTATCCAAAAAAATACGACAACCGTTCAATCTCAATATAAAAGATAATAATTTATAAACAGACGAAGGAACTGAAGAAACACTGCCACCACTGGAAATGCACACGGTGACTGAAGAACCGCTAATCGGGATACCCCCTGTCAACGACACGGCCAATATATTTATACGATACCTCACACGTAAGTGCTTAAAAAGAATTCTGTTTCAGAACATCGACGAGCATCACACATCGATCAGATCCTGGCGGGAGACAAGTTGGTCTATTACAGCAGCTCTATTTTTATCAACTACGATTAATATTTGTTTACCATAAATTCACTTTACTCACAGCCATGGTGTTCATTTACAACTACTCGTACTACAACAAGCCACATTTGATCACGTCTAGTTCTTTTTAATTCAAAAAGTTTTTTGATAAATATTTCAATATGTTGAATAATTTCACACGCCACATCATATGCCTCGTAAAGTTTCAGCTCTAAAATATTTTAAATAAAAATTTATACTGCCTCGGTGGAAGTTAGATAACCTATCTGGTTCCATGTGTTACTAATTAAAAAGAAGATATCGAAAGAGCGAGAATCGTGAGAAATAAAATGTTCTTTCGTTTGCAGAGAAAATATTATCGTTTTAATGTAAATGCTATATAATAATAATATACGTTAATATATTCTTAACCGATATATCACATTTGTTAGTAACTCATTTAGAACACTCATAACCATCTTGTTAGAGTAAATTTGACAAATGCTTAGATGAAAACCATTCATTAATGTCGAATGCCTATTTATTAATGGCACAGTAATATGTTCTAATACTGTAATGTAAAATTGATTAACGACGACGCAATGTCATCTTTGGCGAGGTGATAATCAGAAGTTACGAGGGACAGAATTGATGTATTATACGTCGTACCTGAGTTCGATTGTAATCTTTTAATGAATTAATTAGCTGTGTGGGCAAATATACATATATTCATACATATTACATACATAATAGGTACATATATATGTACTTTTCGGGGCCAAGTTAAGATATTAGGAGGATTTGAATTTTATATTAAAAGACATACCTACCTATTATTTTAATATCATTTAGTGAGCTAAATCAAAAATTGATAGTTGATAGTATACCAAAATTTTGAAAAAAAGGTCAACAAGTCTTTGTATCTTTTGTTAATTGTATATTTTTTTATAGTTTTGGAAATTGAGGCCTATTAAATATTTAAGCAGTTTGAACATTAAAGTTGTGACCAGATGGCGCTTTGAAATATGCAAATGCAACATCAATTTAATACCTGGAATATAATAAATTGTAGCCAATTTCTATTTGACCCTAACCTAACCGAGCCCGAGATTATTGTCATAAATTCTGTCGAGGTTCGTACAATTGTGTGCGTGTCGCGATGTTTCGAATAGCCGCTGTGTAACATCGATAATGTTTTAATGACAGAGTTAACCAGCTAGAATAATTATTACAGTATTAAACAACAGAAACTAATCTGTAAACTATCTCATCAGTTAATAATTATTATATATTATAAAGAGGAAAGTTTTTTGTTTGTTTGTATCGAATAGGCTCCGAAAGTACTCAACCGATTTGAATGAAATTTGGTAAGAAGATATTTTGAGACCCCGGGAAGGATATAGGATAGTTTTATCCCGGAAATCATCTCTTAAGGACGTGAAAATGGGGATGAAAGTTTGTATGAGAGAGCAACCTAGGGATGAACCTGAGCGAAGCGAGGGTGAGTCGTTTGTAGAGTATACAACAACATTGGCTTAGTGTAAGCTATAGGCACAACTGTGAGTAATTTTTGAGTGAGTTCTGTATTTGGAGAATTTTAAACCATGTTGATTTGTTTTGAAGTATGATTGAAATTCAAACATTTAGTTTATTAATCTTCATCAAGTTTTAAAAGATTTGTTATTTATTTGTGATGCAGATCAAAAGGTTGAGAGAAATATCATGTTCATTTTGAAAGATTATTTGGTCAGTTGTTCAAAAAAATATTTAGGTATAGCTTGCTATCTATCTATATATATAGGTTTACATATAGCATGTGCTGCTACATTTTATGTCTGTTACGAGTATTCTTAGTATAATTTTTGTAAAATTGTTAAAGGAGGACTTAACCCTAATCAAAGGCAATAATCGTTAAAGCAATTACTGCCCTATTTGCGTTTAAGAAAAAAGTGGCAAGATAATAGCCACAAACTGACCCAGTGACCCGCTATTGGTCCGTTATGAGGGTTTAAGCTTAGCTCAATAATCCTGCTGTACGTAGATAAACTAACGCGCCGCCAACGCGCCCACAGTCAGTGTACATACTACTAGTTTTATCTTACTTTTTTAATTATGTATTTAACTATATTAATATTAAATGAACGATATGTTTTTTTGTACGTAACGTTAATTTATTAAGTAATAGTTAAATCCTGTTCTATACTATTCACTTAGTAAATAAGATATAAACAGCCCCAAACACCAACTCGACCATCACAAGCGTTGAGTAAAACGCGAAATCGCTTCCATGAACTAATTTAATTTCGAACATAGCGACGTCTAGCCTTCGCGTAATTTAATCTAGCTTGGTTGGTGTGAATGACGTAAAAAATAACTAACTTTTTTTATTTCTGTGTCGGCACGTCCCGTTGCCCGTACCGATCCCGCGTACATATAATACGTGACCATTCACATCGTCGTCGGTCGAGGGATAAACATAATCTGTCATACATCTCTTTCCCGGCCCGACCTCGCCCGCCGTGATTTAAAAGCACATATTTGAATCATGACAATTCGAATAGTTAACGAGATTGCTATCAACGACTTGTAATTGGACGTCGAGTAGCAGTCATTAAGTCCGCGCCGTGACGTCGCCACGAATATAAATGGCGTTTCATTCGAGGTGGGGGACGGCAATTATATATGTACGAGCAGCTATGTGATTGTTTTGTATCCAACCTCAAACCGAATCCAATTTTTTTAATATTTCTAATCTCGTAGTCATCTCCGCGGTGGCTCGGCCATGAATATTTTAACTCTCTGTGTGGCAATTTCCAAAAATACGGTACGAGCGTTCGTTTATTAATGTCGCATTGATTGCCGATCACCACCCGGGGGAGAGGCCGGGATACGTATAGAGAACTAAATGGGATTTCATTTTCTAGTTCAGGAATCAAACGCCCCTCGCGACTCGCGTCCAATGTTCTATCTGTAGTCCCCTTAGACAGTTTTGTTCTGGTTCGCTTGGCGCCGGCATTCGCTCCGGGAGTTGGAAATTCACGTGTCTTCGCGAACATAATTGTTTCGTGCCTCTGTGCGCATTTTTTGCGAGATAATGCAATTAATCTCACTCGGAGTAATGAAAACGTAGTACCGAGCTTTCATCCGTAATGCATGAAAACAATTCTGTCGTTAAATTTTCACCGTTCCTCATTCCGAGTTCCGTTAAAGTTTAGTGCATCTAGCGAGATGAGTTTTCAAGTAAGAAATTCAAAGGTTTCGATGTATGTAGTAGGGACCTTATACTCGTACTCGTATGTGTAGCAATCTTTGCTATGGCTAAAATAATTCTGCTAGAAAGGCCTTGAGATGCTCTTAATTTATTCATCGTAGAAAATTTAATCCAATTGGACTCTTATGTAACGAGGTTGTTAAAAGTTTGATCCCAATTTGGGATTCAGAGGACACACCAATGCATTTATGAGTAAAGTGAATAAAACTTATGAATTTTATTTTTATTCAGGGGATATTATAAAAATACTCTTTCATTTTGAATATATTGAATACAAAAACAATCTATATTTGTATATAAAATTAATAAAGTCCTTTTTCTCTGCACACAGATCCGCCCGAGATCACGATCCGGCCACGCAATCTGCAAGTACGTGCAAACGGAATCGCCGCCTTCTACTGTGCTGCGAGAGGCGACCCTATACCTAATATTCAGTGGCGAAAGAACGGAAAACGTGTCTCAAGTGAGTAGTACTCAAATATCATTTTTCGTGTAATAAGGTATTGTTAGGCAGTAAATAAAAAAATATGTACTATTATTTAAAATAACAAATTACGTTTAACTTAATTTAAATAAATTATAATATTTTTATGGCCCGTGTCACAAAAAGGTCGGATCAAACGCGCTACACAAAAAATACGGTCCATTCATTCCGGGTATTCTGTTCGTGATTGAAATGTAAAAATGGATTTTTTAGGCCATAAATATGTGAGACCGGTAATGACGTCTATAAGCCCGGAGCAATGAGCTGGAAAAACGTATTGCCGCGGCCACGCACGCGAAAACCCCACCCATAAAACCATTCATGCCCCCTCTAAATAGTTTCAACGCCCGCTATGAAATATGTAATGTTATCAATCATAGCCGGAAGATGGCGTTGGAAAGATTAAGGATCACGATCACCTCCTCGCATTCCACATTCTATCAGCTTTATCAAAGTTTATTCCCGATTTGTCTGACTGTCGTCGTTGCGATCTATCAAACTGTGCCCCCGACTCGGATAAGTGTGGCAGAAAAACATTCGGGTAGTGATGCGAAGGGAAGAAGATTTATTCGGGACCTGCGGGATAGAAACTATGAATTAATTATTTGCCCTGAGTAGGCCCACTTCCGCTTTAACTTTGGGTTAGAACGTAAAATAAGTAAAGTATGATTAAATTAAGATGCGCTCTAACGATTTTGACCCGTGTGGCTATATATTTTTTTGTATATAGATTTCGAAAAGTTGAGAAGAGTTTGAACACATTTTTAAATATAACAATTCATTTTAGCCATTTATTAATGTTTTAGGATTTTTTTTGGCTATACTATTCATTATACGAATTTCTTCCCTGATGTCTAATAAAGATGCCTGTATTTTTATAAAAGAAACTAGCATTACCCGGGGCTCCGCCCGCGTTCTGATAACCAAAAACCAAATTCTTAGGTTGTACATATTAGTATACTCTTACATTGCAGTTTTTGTATTTTTTCTCAGCAATGAGATATTTTCCCGCGGTAAAGTATCCTATATGTTGACCCGGATAACCAGCTATCACCATACCAAATTTCATCAAAATCCCTCCAGTGATTTTTCTGTGATGCGGTATCAGACAGACAGAAAGACAGACTAAAATTCTAAAAACAATAGATTCGGCCTTTGTATCGATAATATTATTATTTCAATAATAATTTCCAAAAAATAATTAATGTACAGATTCGGCTTAGTTACAATTTTATTATAGGTATAGATAAAGACAAAATGTTGTTTTAGGATTTCTCAGTCATTATAACAATTTTCTTATGTTTCAAAGCTTGTCAAAAAAACTAAATTCACATCTGAAATACTAGGTACCATTTATTTTTTTGCTTCAATTTTAATTTATCTACACTAATCTACACTAATATTATAAAGAGGAAAGATTTGTATTTTTGTATGTTTGTAACGAATAAACTCAAAAACTACTGGACCGATTTAGATGAAATTTGGTAAAAATATAGTTTGAGACCTTGGAAAGGACATAGGATATTTTTTATTCCGGAAATCATCTCTTAATGGGGTGAAAATGGGGATGAAAATTTGTATGGGGAAACAAACTAGGGAAAACCCCGAGCGAAGTAAGGGTGAGTCGCTAGTTTTAAAATATACTTACAGCGTTACCCGCATGAAAATTTTTATTTACTTCAGTAAATATAAATAAAGTTCGACAGCAACTAAACCTTGTGTAGTATAAAATAAGAGATAATAAAAATTTACTAGAACTTAGGATCTCTTCGAGGAATTGAAGTGAATATTAGTAGTATTTTAAGAATTACCAAATTATATTTTAAACATCCTACGAACAAATATTTAAGAACTCAATTTATTTAATTTCATTAAGAACCTATACATGACTAGTACAGTAATATTTAAGATACATTTACCAATAAAAAGGAATAATTTAATTTTATATGGAGCCTCATTATTTTATTTATAGAGTTAGTTTATGTAAAAAGATTTCTCATATAATTCGACGTTAACTTTACGAAGATTTATTTGACTTCACCTTGTCATAACTTCGTCTATATTCGTTGTTGACTTTGCCAAAGTTCTTTTCGCGATGAAGATACAAGTATATACAAGTATATCTAAATTAAGATTTGCACTAAATTTTCTTCTAGTATTTAAATAATCTATTTCATTTATCAACTTTTAGGAAGAGTGTCTAGTTCTGGTGTTATTTTCATAAAATATTCGATAATCAAGAATTTCTTAGATGTAGACTTTATTCACCTCATTTTTCCAGATTTCGCCGTCATCAACTTTTTATTATTTTACATAAGCGATTATTATAGAATCTATATATATATATATATATATATATATATAATATGATGATGATGATGTTCTCCTGACCGATTCCGGCCACGGCGGCCAATCTCATTGAGACTAGCCAACTGCGCAGGAGATATTATAGTGCTCAAGTGTACGCGCAGACACAAGTGCACTCTCTATTCCTGTTACTCTGGTGGGACGACCACTCGACACGACCAGTGAGAGTTAAGGCGCAGGACCGACGGCTTTACGTGCTCTCCGAGGCACGGGGGTGAAACACCGCCAACTTCCCAACTCCGGACTGTTACTGAGACTTAATATACAGAAAGACTTAATAACTAAACTTGGCCCGACCCGGGACTCGAACCCAGGACCTCCGGTGTGCAGCCGTACATGCTAGCCACTACACCACCGAGGCAGTTATATATATAATATATAGATTCTATAATAATCGCTAATGAAATACTATAATATTATGACATAATATTTATAGCTACATCGGCGACTTGTCCTCGCTTAGCTCGAGTGCTTCCCTAGGTGTGTTTTGTATTTATTTTACAAGCAGCGCCACCTTTTGGCAAACTTGATTACTAATTGATGTTATTATTTTATTTACTAGCGACACACCCTCGCTTTGCTCGGGTTCGTCCCTAGGTACGTTTTAGCGGTTAATATGGAATAGATAGACTATATATCTATACAAAGGTATAGCAAAGTGGGTAAGTACTTTAAAAGAAATCATTCCCTATTTTACCTTGATTGGTCATAAACGCCGAAATATTCTTTATTTCTTGCCAAAAGTATAATTATGAATGATATTGAGAAATGACTGATTCCCCATACAAATTTCCATCCCCCTTTTCACCCCCTGAAGTGATAATTTTCCCGAGAAAACTATCCTATGTTCTTCCCAGGATCTCAAACTATCTCCATACCCAATTTCATCTAAATCAGTTCATCAGATTAAGCGTAAGACAGAGTTACATTCGCATTTAGTTCGTCCCTAGGGTGGACCACCCTTATTACTTAGGGGTATGAAAAATAGTGTACGCCCTATTCTCAGACCTACTGAATATACACACAAAATTTCATAAGACTCGGTCAAGCCGTTTCGGAGGAGTTTTGTTACAACCACTGTGACACGAGAATTATATATATTAGATATAGCCTATATAGCCTTCCTCAATAAACGGGCTATGTAATGCAAAAAGAATTAATAAGTGGTTCCTGAGATTAGCGCGTTCAAACAAACAAACTCTGCCTCTTTATAATATTAGTGTATATATAGTATAGTGTGATTTATAATTTGGATCAAAGTTTTATAGATAAATTAAAATATCAGACACATTTCATCATATGGGATACCATATCCATATATAGGATATATGGACAGAGCTAGAGCTACCAGACAAATGCCTTCAAAATTTGCTGAATTTTTACAAACAATTATTATGTTTAACATTATTTTCCAATAATTTTGTTTGTTTCATATACCCATATTATTTCTTTTCCGTTATTGCCTACGTACTACAAATTGATACAGTATATTCATGGAAAAACTTATTGCCTTATGTATTAAGTCAACAATTTTTGTTTAGAATATAATGAAAATACCCAACTTAATGTTGGTTTAGTTTTTTTACAATATATGAAATATCTTTATAAATATATTTATATCTTCTATAATATAAAAATAAGTCGCTGAATGTGGGCAGTTGAACCGATTTCGCTAATTCTTTTTTTTTTAAATATTCCTTGAAGTACGAGGATGGTTCTAACGGAGAGAAAAATTTAAAAAAAAATCCTGAAAAAGTCTAAAAACAACACTTTTCTATATTCATACAAAAGATTCGTAATAATACTTAAAAATCAATTTGAACTTTAATACTATACCATAAAGTTTAAGTGTTAGTGGAGAGGTTCCGGGAAGGCGAAACAATTGAGTGACGTTAGTATCGTATAAATATTAATGTCAATGTTTGTCAATATTATTAACAAAAAAAAATTTATAACGCTAACGCTGGCTAATAACTATTTATATCTATTTAAAACGTACCTAGCGACGAACTTCGCTCATGCAAGTGTGAGCCGCTAGATTTCAAAGAAAAATAGATAACCGATATAACATTTACTTGCTCGTGCAAATTTTAAAGCCCAAACGACAGCTAAGATTTTTTATCTCTTGAACGACTCACTCGATTTTATTAATTAGGCTCTCACTGGCGAAAGAAGGTTTTATTTGAATAAACTCAAAGGTTATCGGTATGTAGAGGTTAGAAGTTTTATACATTATTTAGGGTAGAGAGCGGTGAGAGCCGAAGAACGCTAAGGCAGATCGCTAAGCCATATAAAATGATGATAAAATAGTACATATTTTATATAACAAAAGAAAGGTAACCTCTAGCATTCCAGTCTCTATTGTTTAAACAATATTAAACGATTTCTCAAAGCGGAATGAAAAGTTTTATTAAGTACACAGAACAGAACCTCTGTTTTTATTCCCGAAGCAAGATAATAACCGTTGAAATAAAATGGAACTCCAGAATATGCATTATGCTTGGAAATTAACATATTTTTATCGTTGGAATGAATAAATCCTGGTTATGTTGGTTTAAATAAATTGTTGCTTTGACTCGGGGGTGAAGTAAAAAGCGGTGCGAATAAACTAG